TCCAGTTGGGGGCCCCTCAGCCTTTGGTTCATAGTTCATGTGTTTCCATTCATTTGGCTATTTGTCCTTGTGCTTTATCCAACCTTGGTTTCATCAATTCTCACTCATATAAACCCTCCTCTTTCTCGTTAATTAGACTCCCAGCACTCCACCCGAGGCCTAGCCGTGGATGTCTGCATCCAGATTCCTCAGTCCTTGGATGGGGTTTCTGGCACAACTATTAGGGTGTTTGGCCATCCCATCACCAGAGTAGGTCAGTCCTGGCTGTCTCTCGGCCATTGCCAGCAGTCTTTTGTGGAGGTATCTTTGCGGATTTCTGTGGGCCTCTTTAGCACTTTTCTTCTTCCTTTTCTCACAATCAATCAATGGGACCTCTTGAAACTGAGAAGCTTTTGTAGAGCAAAGGATACAGTCAACAAGGCAAATCGACAGCCTACAGAATGGGAAAAGATCTTCACCAACCCCACATCTGACAGAGGACTGATATCCAGAATATATAAGGAACTCAAGAAATTAGACATCAAAACGACCAACAGTCCAATTAAGAAATGGGCTATAGAACTAAACAGAGAATTCTCAACAGAGAAAACTCAAATGTCTAAAAGACATTTAAGGAATACTCAACATCCCTAATATCAGGGAAATGCAAATCAAAACAACTCTGAGATACCACCTTACACCTGTCAGAATGGCTAAGATCAAAAACACTGAAGACACTTTATGCTGGAGAGGATGTGGAACTAGGGGAACTCTCCTCTACTGCTGGTGAGTCTTTTCCTTCTAAGCCACCTCAATATATATAATCTAGATGACATAGTGAAATCTTATTGGGGAAAATTGATTTCATGCTGACTTAAGATTATGGCCATAGAAAATCATTTAATTTTATTACTTGCGAATTTTAGTCTCAAAAGAATGCTACACTTTTGGTTAAAAGTTTTATTTGTTAAAAACATCCATGTTAGGGAAGGCTGTTATCAAAGAGATCAGGGTTAGGAACAGAAAGAAGGGCTACAGCTGTGGAGAAATGGGCACTTGGGACATTGTTAGTGGTAGTGGAAATTAGTACTTCTATAATGGGACACAGATTGGAGTTGCATCAAAATATTAAACAGACAAAACACTCAATATGATGGAATAACCCTCCCTGGGTGTATGACCCAAACAAGTTAGTGTGCCAAAGAGACATCTTCATTCTCATGTCCACTGAAACAACAACCAAAGAATGTAAACAGTTACACCTCCCTCACTGGTGAATGGATAAAATATGATTTGTATATATCATCAAATGGCAGCTAAAAAAACATGGTTAGAACTAGAAATCCTTGTGTTAATTAAAATAAGACAGTCATAGAGAGAAAAGTACCATATGATCTCACTGAACACATGGAACATAAAGAAATTACTTTCCATTTCTTCTAGGATCTCATAATTTTGACATTCAAGTTTTTACTTTCCCACTTAAAAATTTCAGTGCATGTGTTAGGGTGGGTACAACTAAAATGAAAGATGAATGTTGGCAAGGGCATCTAGAAAGGACAGAACCATTAATTGGTATATACAGTATGGATCTTATTCCCCCCCCAAAAAAATTAAAAATAGTACCCTAATTTAGTCCCACAGTTTCATTCTAAAACATGTATAAATGAAATAAATTCGGTGTCTAAAAGAGATATGTGTATCCCATGTTCATTAAAATACCATTAATCATTGTCAAGGCATGAAAACATCCTAAATCTCTGTTGGTAGATGATGGATGAAGAAAATGTGATATGTACATGGCATGGAACATTATTTAGCTGAAAATAGAAAACCCTGCTGCTTGTGACATTATGGATTAGCTTAAGAACATTATGCTGAGTGAAATGAGCTGAACACGAACAGACACTATATGATCCAAGAAGTAGCAGAAAGAAACACAATAAAATGCTGGTTGCAATAGCCAAGGTTAGGAAATAAGAGGATATTGATCAAGGAGCATACATGTCCAGCTATAGAATAATACATTCTGGAGATCCATGTAATGTAAATTTGTATGGAATGTATATACAACACTGTTCTATATGCTTCATATTTATTAAGACAGTAAATTTCCTAAGTGTCTTCCACACACGAACATAGACACATATAAAGATGAAAATTAGTCAGTGATGGATATGCCATTGACTTGACTATAGTAAGCCCTTTTCAGGTTAAAAACAGATCTCATAATTATGTTAACAGCATGAATAAAGATACATAAAACTTTATTTGTGAATGATATCTCAATAAAGTTTTAATAGAAAGGCCTGTGGGTTTCTAGGACATTTTCATGGTCCTTACTTCTACTAAGGCTCTTGGACATCCCAGTTTTCACCCTCAGATCACAACAGCTCCTCCATCATGTGCTGTTGGAGTCCATCTTACTCATTTGTGACTAGGAAACAGGAATCACGGTTTCCTTTTCCTTCTCTGAAGTTGTCAAACCCAGCACCAAGCCAAGACCTTAAGATGGAGAACAGGATGGGACAGTTTATTACAAATTCAAAGAAAACCCATGAGAGCTGGGAAGAACAAAATGAGAAACCACCAACATTTCATCTCTAATGAAATAAAATCTATAATGTCATCAAAGCCTCAGAAAAATCCCTCATATTACTCTGTTTGATACAAGCAAGCTATTTTGAAACATGCTCCTGTTTGGCAAGGGGATGTCTGTCTCTTCACTGGACTGAAAGTGTCTTCTGCAACTTGGCTGTACTCTGTGGCCCTTGGCTTAGAGCTGTGACGCTCAGGTGTAACTATAACCTTCCCATGCACATGGTGAAGAACAAAGAGGCCTTAGAAAAATTGTGAAAAGGCAGTAGGCAACAGATCCAATGACTCAGAACATCACACAGGAAAATGAGTCACAGAGTCCTGAAGAAGAATCTGCAAAAGAACCTGAGGATCTTGTCAGAGCAGAAATCACATGCAAAGGCTATGAATGGGATACCATTCTTCCCAGGCCAGGAATCACAAACTCTGTGGGAATTAATCTGAAGGAAGAGCAGCCATGATGGAGAAGGCAGCTGTAGGCCAGAAGCCTGCAGAGACCAAGGAAGGGGAAAGAGTGGTCTGCTAAGAAGATGAACTCTTGCAAAAAGGCCACAGCAACCAAGAAACCACAATCAGAAAAGAGGCCCACACTGGTGTTGCCTGCACAACCCTCCATACTCGGGCCTTCCACATCTTCCTCCTGGCTCTAGCCTGTTCAGTAATCTTGACTACCCCATCCACCAAAGATAAATACTTGTCAAATATTAGAATGTATTTTATTCCAGAAGAACAAATATATACCATTATACGAAAAAGGATCTGATTCTTTTAAACATCTAAAGGATTCCTAAAATATTTAGGTCAAATCTATAAATTTTATGAAACTTGCCTTCCCTAAGTTGATGGAAAATAGTAGTTTGTTAAAGGTTTAACGGTTTATTAATATCTAGAGAAAATGAAAACTGTATTTTTATTATGGGCCAGGAAAAGTTTAAAACATTAAGTTGTGGCTTTTAGCTATTAAAGTTATGAAATAAAAACAAGAACACCCAAACTTCATGTGAGCCAGAGGATCGTTTCATGAATAAAAGCATATTATATTTCTCACTACATCACATCATGCATAAATACATGTTCACATGTACACCAACATGTGCACATATAGGCACATACAATCTTCAGGGTGTTTTGGCTTTTTGCATTCTCGGGAGGTAAATATGTGCTGGTGCTATAAAATCTGCTTTCAGTGCAGAAGGGAATGTGAGAATATGGTCATTCTGATGCAGATGGTCATCACGATTGTCATAGCCAGGTTTGGGAACTCCCTCTTCAACAGTGACTTCACTTATTTTTGATAATCCTCAGTTCGACATAATCTATCCATAATTGCTTTACAGGAAAAAAGTCACTAACCTGCTCACTAATTCATTTTGAAACTAATAAAGTAAGTAGTTAAAAAACACTTAGGTAACAAATGAAGTATCCGAATAACTGACCTACGAGACTGGAGTTTGGTATGAAACTGACTAATGATGGACCATCTCCATGACCATGTATACATGAACTGGCTTCCTTCTCCTCAATCTTTGTTGTTAGAATTTTGTCCCTAGACTTGCCAAACAACAGGGTTAGTATTGTGCACCACCCGATATGGAAGACAGTAAACGTGCTGTCTTGTGCCCAATACTCATTTGTGAAACCTGTCAAGGGTCTAGAACTCTCCTAAATTCTATGGCCGCCATATCAAAGATGGGGAGGATCTGAACCCCCTGGCCAGGGTGCTTCAGTGCCAATAATTGAACGTGTGGTAAAACTGCAAACATTGAATCATGGTCGAATGAAGAGAAATTCCTTAAGACACAAGTGCTCCTGTAGTGACGATCCCAACACTGTTGATTTTGTTTTACATTTTTATAAATGTGTTACCCCTAGGTTGCTCTAATTCAAATATGCACAAGATATATTATTTTAATTCTTCATCAAAAACTGGGCGATTTGTGTTTCTTAAGAGCTCTATAGGTCTTTACAGTCCTCTCTGCAAAACTCCAGTAAGCATCCTCACATGCTCACTTCCTACTTTAGGACCTAAACACGAGCAATATATATATGTGTGTGTGTATGTGTATGTGTATATGTGTGTATACATACATATATATGTATATATATATGTATATACATACATATATATATATGTCTGCATAATGTGTATAATGTAAACAAGCAGCTACCTGCTGCTATATGATATCATTAACAGAAACAGTGAAAAGACATTCATTTTCGCAGCCTGAGTGGATATTTCCTTTTGCAGATACAAACTTAATGACATTTAATATTCTCAAATGCACTACAGGAGTCTCCAGCCCTCTCCTCCTTCCTTTTCGGCCGTTCATCTGCCAGGATGTAAACCATTCCCACAGCTTTCAAATTCTCCACACAATTTAATTGTGAGTTTCTGAGTTTAGCTCAAACATTCCCCTTATTGTTTATGCACAACTTTTAAGTTTACACAACCTTGTAAAATACCATTTTTATTGCATTCTTCATTGTATGTGTCTGTCCATCTTCTATAAAATGTGTTATATTGTTTCGCAATTGTCACACTGAAATTTGCTGAGCCAATGTCCTCTCCTGGGCTGCAGCTGAGAAATGCAGGTGCTGTGGAATGGCCACACTGTCCCTTGTCATCCTGTGAATCAGGGTCACACTTGACTTATGTTTTGCCTCTGTCAGCTGCTTGTGGTGAGGTGGCTTTATTTCCCTCGTCCTGATGGCACCTGGAAATACCCAGTCAGAATGAAGCTAAAACAGAATTACTTCACAACACTAAACATGATTAAGAGATTAAAACATCTACTGGAGAGCTGCAGGGGTATAAACTGAGTCCTAAAATGGTGTGAGCAAATTCCTGGTCTCCTTCTTCAGTATAGAGTTGTCACTTTTCTTTCATATGGTAACAATATGTGAAAATTCTTTGTAAGTATGACATGCCATTTATCTACATTTCTCTGTGTACTCAGAGACTTCTCTATGGTATAGTACTGAGCAAACATGTCCAGGTTGAACATAAATCAACAAATATGATAGTGCCTATGTTAAGTTTCAGGGTGAGCACTTCTAATTGTCAATAGGACAATAGGAAGATCCCAAATGTCAGTGTCTTCTTAAAATACAAACATCAGGCTCAGTATTTGAGTGCATATTACTCCTTTAGAGGACCTGAGTTCATTCCCAGCACCCACACTGAGTTGCTAACAACTGCCTGTAACAGAAGCTCCATGGAGATCTGGCAATCTCTTTGAACACTACAGGCACTCACACACATATATGGTAGACAATACCAACCCAAACATACACATGAAAATTAAAAAGGCTTAAAGAAAACTACAAACATTCAGACAAGCAAAACTTTAGAGTTTTCTGTGTCTGAGACAAGTTTGCCTGGAGGAAACAATCAAGAAATTGTTGGCATGCTGCCAAGTATTGTCAATAAATTGTGGGTCAGATATCTTAGCAAAAATGCAGCCTTAGGTTAACCTATTTTGAATTTTTTGTCTTATTATTTTAGATGTATGAGGTTTCCTATGTATCTGTGAACCACTTGTATGCATGATTCCCACAGAGACCAAATATTAGATCCCCTGAAATTAGAGTTACAGGTAATTGTGAGCCACATACAATGTGAGTACTGGGTTTCTAACTGGGGTCTTCTGGAAAAATAGCAGATGCTTTTAACTGATGAGCTGTCTCTACAGCCCCTCTCAAAATATTTTTAATCTAGACTATAGCTTACTAAAATTATCATAGGGAGCCTTATAATAAAGTAAGAACATAAGCTGGGGAATCCCAATGGCCACCAGTAAATGCTGAACAATTGTTTTGGATCAAACATCATATTTTGTTGTATAAAATGCACAAGAGGTTTAGAATATGCATTCTGTAGAAAGGTATACTTGGAAATAGTATGTATATTTTTAGAGCAAATGTGATTTTGCTTTCAAAGCTTTTTCTCTGAAAAAAAAAAATCATAATTAGGAATCCAGGGATTTAAAGCACCAGTATATGGTTTGTGACTCCAATTGTCTTGTGTATGGTTTTTGAAACAACTTTGCATTATACTACAATTCAATCCAAAACATTTATTCCCAAGTAATAGAACATATTTTCTATATGTGATTTTCATCAAACACAGTAAATCTGACAGGTTCATTGCACACTCTTTGGTAATCTTATTTTCCCAAAAGGACAATGAAAAACAGAGGTAGCTTCCTGAGCACAGTGGTAAAATTATGGCTACACTTACTTTAACAGCTTATTAAGAATATTGAATCTAACATTTAGTTAGAATTACAAAGAAAGAGTGAGGTCCTACGGATACATACATGTTGAAATGCTGATTTATGCTCACTCACATAGTTTCTGTCTTTTAATTTCTTTCTTTTGTCTATTTGAAAGCCTCTGCCGTTCCGCTCTTAGAAGTAAAGAATATCAAAATCACCAACAAAGAATTTTGGTTTATTTTGAAGAATCCGCATCCTGATTTTAAATGTTAATCTCCAATATTACATTTCTTCCTCCCTGAAAGCTTTAGACACCCTCACAGGCACATAACTCCCAAGCAATTGAGTTACCTTTATAAATCTGGAAAATCCCGTCTCAATGATTGTTTCCTCTGGCGTTGCACAGAAGGCCTGCATAGCTGAGCAGCCAACCCTAATGCGGGCAGCAATACAATTTGAAACAAAACTTATTTCTTCTTCTTTTTTTAAGAACAATTTCACTTGAACACAAAAATCACAGACAGTTTGTGTGGCTGCTTTACGACAGAGTAAAATTGTCACTTTTCCCCCAAAGACTCTAAGAATGGATTTCTGTTCCACAGAGTAACATCATATGATAATTGTATAGGCAAGGGGTAATTTCTAATTTTGTTAGGTAATATTAGCAAACAGATGGAACCAATGAAATTTCTCTCTTGATAAAAGTAAAATTTAACTGTTGAACATATTAAAAAGATAATTCTATTAAATAAAAGTTAGATGCACACTTAACATTTGATTTGATGTTAGAAATATATATATATAATGATTACTCCTATCAGTTTGATCAGTAAGTCATAAAAACACTCAAGTAACTTAATCCTTAATTTTTATAAAGTCTATAAATATATTTTCAAGAGAAAATAAAGCATTACCATGAAAACAAAAAGGGAAATATTTTATGATGACTTTGTCTTCTATATATTTAAATCATATCACTTTTCAGTAAATAGCCATGATGATACAGAAGTGGGTAACCAGATTAAAGAGACACATATACACATACATACTAAATGAAACATTTTAAAAATATGAACTTAAAGCTGAACAGAGAGTTCTCAAAATAAGAAATAAAATGGCCAATAAATGTCTCAGAAAGTCTTATTGTCCATAAAATTAAGAAAATACGCATCAAAATGCCTTTAAAGTTTCATCTTACAACAGTCAGAATGTCTAAGATTAACTGACAACACATGCTACAGAGGGTGTGAGGAAAAACGAACCCTCATTTACTGATGATGACTTTGCAAACGGGTGTAACCATTCTTGAAATCACTGTATAGAATCCTCAAAAAGTTCAGAATAAATCTACCATATGAACCAGTCATTGCCTTCCTCAGCATGTGCCAAAGGACTCACAGTGCCAAGCACAGCTACTTTCTCAGCCATGTTCATTGTTGCTTTATTCACAATAGCTAGGAAATTGAAACATTATAGATGTCCTTCAACTGACAAATAAATAATGAAAATGTGCACATATACTATTGAATACTATTCAATGCTGGGGGAAAATGAAATCATGAACTTCACAGGCAAATGGATGGAACTAGAATATAACATATTGAATGAAGTAACTGAGACTTGGAAAGACAAATAGCACATATTCTCTCTCACCCAAGGTTCCCCATTCCAAATCTTCAGAAATGACTATATAACTTGGAGTACATTCAGGAACAAGGAAAATAAAAGTGAAAATTGGGGGGGGGCAAAGTAGAGGTGATAACAAAGTATGAGCAATCTGAAGATCTAACTGGGACAATGGGGAGGTTGGTTAGGCATGGGAAGAAGATAAGTAAGGAAAGGTTAAGTAGCGCCAAGGTTGCAATAAAAGGTCATAAAAATCATACTACTTTTATATACCTAAGACAATTACAAAATATGTAAATCTACATATACATGTATACTTAAATGAAAGTTTCCCAACATCTACATCTTCTGCTTACGCTGACTAGGGTAGTTTACTCTGTTGGTGAACGTGTGCATACACATGGGAAAGTGAGATGTGTCCTTTGTTAATGCAAAACGGAACTACTGCATAGTCCTATAGAATTCTCTTTCTTCTGCTTTATTTGTTTTGAGTGTACACGTGTCTGTGTGTGCACATGAGTGTGTGTGTGTGGTGTGTGTGTGTGTGTGTGTGTGTGTGTGTGTGTGTGTGTGTGTGTGTGTGTGTGTATAGGCCAGAAAGCAACACCAGTGTCTGTCTCTACCACTCCCCACATTATGTTTTGAAGTAGGGTCTCTCACTGAAAATGGAGTTAACCATTTCAGCTAGACTGGGCTTCCCAGAGAGGCTCTGCATCTGCTATCTCTTCCTCTGCCTCTTCTGCTTCAGAAACTCACTCCCACACTTAACGTTTACCTAGATTCAGGGAATCCAAATTCAAGTCTTCATCCTTGAGCAACAAGCAATAAGCCATCTCCCTATCCTCTTATTTTAGTCCCTTTCCATAGTCTTTAATTTATTTCCTATCTTTCTGACTCTTTCACATCCAGCTTCTTTATCAGGAACAATATATGCGCTATGATGCTCACAGCACTCCATTGTCTAAAGGAAGAAACTTGAGGAAATGCCTTATTCTACCCAGTTATCACTTTGTGAATTCCTTTTCAACATTATTCTTTTAATCGGTATATAATATGCATACTGATGAAACAGATCAAGGATTGGAAGTTTTCTGTGGACTAAAATATGCACAAAATGATATGTAATTAAAGTACTTAGGTTTGTCATCTTCTTTAGAGTCTCACAATTACTTGCTGCTGACATTTTAATGTGAAATAAACCAGAGACAGAAAGATAAATGCTATGGGTTTTCAATGGTTTGTAGAATCTAAAATAGGTAATCTCGTAGGGTTGAAAGTAGAAGTGTGATTACGGTAGATGGGAGTATTGTGGAAGAACAGAGAGGGGAAAATGATGGGTAAGGTTACCAGTAATTAATAATCAACAGAGGGAAGAAAATACTTGGAATGATTCTGCACAGCAGAGTAACGACAGGTAACAGTTACAGGCTGTCTTAGTTCATGTTTCTATTGCTGCCATGAAACACCATGACCAAAAAGCCAGTTGGGGAAAAGGGGATTTATTTGGCTTATACTTCCATATTGCTGTTCATTATTGAATGAGGTCAGGACAGGAACTCAAACAGGGCAGAATCCCGAAGGCAGGAGCTCATGCAGAGGCCATGGAGGGAAGTTGCTTACCGGTTTGCTTCTCCTGGCTTGCTCAGCCTGCTTTCTTATAGAACCCAGGATCACCAGCCCAGGGATAGCACCACCCACCATGGTCTGAGCTCTCCCCTATTGATCACTAATTGAGAAAATGCCTTAGAGCTAGATCTGATAGAGGTGTTTCCTCAGCTGAGGCTCCTTCCTCTCTGATGACTCTAACTTTTGTCAAGTTGACATACAAAACCAGCCAGCACACAGGCTGAATATCTAAAAAATTCTACAATTTTGAATGTTCCACTTTCAATACACTATAGATATTTTGGAAAACTTATTTATCACGATGTGATCACTACATATTAAATATATCCTTATACAAAAATTCAAAGGATACCATACTAATACTAACAATTTTCATGTTGTGTACCATGGTCTTTTTTTAATACAATGAAACACTGAGAAATCACAGAGTTGCTGTTCATGTGATTTTAATTTAAGGATAAGCAGTAAAATTCAACTGAGGAAGAAAATATAAAAAGAAGTTAATAAACAAAACATTGTGGGTTAAACTGAAAATAAGTATTCTAACAGAAAGAATTCAGAACAATAATCAAACTTATCCCTTTTACTTATGTGAAAAGTAATACAATCTAGATGTGAGTCTCATGAAGGAGACAGGGGAATAGTGGAGAAGCACACGTAGATTTCAAAGGACAGCAATTCCCTCTTGGGAGTGAGCAGATGCCCACCATCTCCAGTGTGATGATGATTTCATTGCTGTGAATATATGACAAAATGAAAAATTGAAAATTTAAAAAATTATTTTTAATATAAAAACCGCAACATATAAACCACAGAAAAAGGGAAGTCAGTAATTTTAATATTACTATTGCTATTTTCTTGACTAAATATGGCAAATGTTTCAAAATTTTAGAGTATTTTATTTATGAATTTATAAACAATTTTAATTTGAGAAATAAATTGACAGACTACGTTAGCAAGAACAAAACAAGAATGCTGGCTGCTTCTGTTTGCTTTCTCTCCTTTCAAAGAAGAAACCTGCTGCTGACTATTTTAAAGTCACTTTAACATTGGTTATATGCTGGTGTTCCTGTTGTGTTGACACAAAATTTATAAACTGTAGTAATACTGAATGAATTAACTTCACTCCATGTGCCAACTTTTACCTTAATATAATATATGTTGATAGGAGTTAATATTCTTTCATTTATTTAAAAATTATACTTAAAGAAATTGTTAGTACTGAAACTACTTTAAGTAATGAAAAGAAGATTGCATTTTCCCTATGGTTTTGTGCCTAAGTGTAATACAGAGACTAACAAGAGAAATAATGCATTCAAAATTTAGAATTAACATAAGAGAAATAATGTATTAAAATTTCAGTTGAAATATTTTAACTAAAATACAGTGTGTTATTTACTGCTTTTATATTTTCTAATTTTCAAGATTTTAGCTGCAAATAGAATCCTGAAGTTCTTTGCCTTAGTTCACAAGGAAAGATTTTGAAATTTTGAATATTTTCAGGAATCAGTGACTATAAATTTACTCTTGATAATATGATTCACTATCATAGCAGGTTAATTTTGTCACAAAAATGTAGCACATGATTATCCAATGACATATGAATCAGTTATACATTGAAATGGCCATAAGCACTTTTTCAGAAAAAACAAGTGTGATAACTAACCATGCTTGTCAACTTGACACACCTGGGAAGAGAAAGCCTCAGTCAGGAATTACCTCCACAAGATCAGCTGGTGGCTTGACTGTGGGGCATTTTCTTGACTGATATTTGATATAGGCAGTTGCAGCCCATTTAGAGTAGTGGCATTCCTGGTACGTTGGTCTGGGCTATTGGTTAACATATTAAGGTAACTCCACGTAGTTAAAAGGGAGGTTTGTTTTGTGGCGTAACTTACAAGTGAAGAGATAGGTTACATGGTCTGGGAAAGGTAAAGCGCAGTCCAGCGGTGTTCTCTGGAGAACTCTGCTCGGTCTACCTCCAACATCCAGGGTCCAGGAACCAAGAGAGCCGGCCCATCCAGATCCCAGGTCTTCAGGGTCCTCTCTCGGCCCTGCCTTGTAGGCGTGACAGTTACTGAAGCCTCAGTGGGGGTTGGAACTTCTAGATCAAAGCTGGAACGGCTACCCACTACACTGGGCTGTCTAAGAAAGTATTTGAATGTTACCTGGAATCACGCCTTTGTGGACTCTGCTTCATTTCTTACCCCTGTGTTCCTTACTTGATTCCATGCCTTGATAAATGAGGAACTGTAGCTTGTAAGCCAAATAAACCCTCCTCCTGCCTTGGTTGCTTTTGGTTAGTGTTTAACAACAGCAATGCAGAAACCAAACTAGGATAAAAATTGGTTCTCTGGTGGATCTAGCAATATCCCTTGCATGGTTTGGTGTGTGGTAATGTGTCCCCCAATATACTGTGTCTCCCACTAAAACTTGCCTGGAGATCAGAGGGAAAAGCCAGCCACTATATAGAAGTCAGGCAATGGTAGCACACACTTTTAATCCTATCACTTGGCAAGCAGGGATCTGTCTGGATCTTTGTGAATTCAAGGCCACACTGGGAACAGAGCCAGATGTGATGGCACTCATCTTAAATTCCAACACTAGTTAACCATGGAGGTCTATAGGTCTGTACAGACAGACAGGAAGTAACAGAGCTGGGCAGGAAGAGGAAGTGATGTAGCTGGACAGAGAGAGCAAATCAAATGGCAGAACAACAAGGCATATAGGCATGGATAGACAAGAAGTGGCTTGCTTAGGAAGCTGCAGAGTTGGTGAGGTGAAATTGGCTGGTGGCTTCCCCTATTTCCCTGATCTCTCAGATTTCATCCCTATATCTGGATGTGTGTTTTTTATTTAATAAGACCATTTAGAAATTTGTCTATATTTATGGAATGAAGGTAGAGAAATTTGAAGCTTTGAACTCTAGAACACATTGAGTGATCAGAGCTTAAAGAGTGGTTGTGGGAGACTGTAAGATAAGGGTGAGAGAAATTTTGACAATGGAGGCCTAGCATATGAAGTTTGAGGATGAACTTTGCGGATCCCTTAATGACTATTTCAGGGCAGCTGTGCAATATTTTAACTTAATAATTTGTGGATTCTGGTCATCTTAAAAAATTGATCAAATTTCATAATAGACCAGCATAATTGATGTGAAATTTGGGATGTATTTTTATAGGATCATCACACAGAAGCTTTGTATTAAAGGGGTCCAAGGTTGCATCTCAGGGTGGCAGCTAAACATGGTAATGTGTAAGAGTTTCTCATAAAGTACTATTTGAAGCCGGGCGGTGGTGGCGCACGCCTTTAATCCCATCACTCGGGAGGCAGAGGCAGGCGGATCTCTGTGAGTTCGAGGCTAGCCAGGGCTACCAAGTGAGTTCCAGGACAGGCACAAAGCTACACAGAGAAACCCTGTCTCGAAAAAAAAAAAAAAAAAGTACTATTTGAAAGCATTTGGTACTTATGGAGAGCAGCTCCCACTTGGCAGGTTTGGTTCATTCTGATAAAAGATCAAGAGAACCCACTGATCAAGGTGCAGCTCCATTTAGGCATTTAGGGTGGTGACCTTGGGATTGAAGGGGTAAAGGAAAGAAGCTGAGATATGGCACCATGTAGCAGGATCAGAGTCCCAGAACAGGTTAGAAGGGGTCACTGGAGAGCTGAAGCCTCAGTTGTGGTGAAGGAAGCAGAATATTGGAGATCCAGGAGCTTGGGATAACTGCCAAGGACTGTACAGGTATGCAGTAGAGGTGGTCTGAACCTAGGAGACATGCTGCATGGCGCAGATGGAATAACTGGAGAAGGGAAATTCCCCAAGCCCTTTGTGAAGGTTAAACTCTCCCACTCTCACAACTGAACTTAGGTTTCAGTTCTCTGAGAAGGGCCATTTATCCACAACTCCCTTACATTCTGGTATGAGGGAGAGAACAAAGACAAAGTCTAAGTCAACTGCACAGTGTCCCAAGGACAAATGCTGCAGCTCCTTCTGAGTCACATCAGACTTGCCAAAGCTTGTGTAAGTATGTCCAAATCGATAAGACTAAACCTCAGTGATTAAAAGTGTACTAATATAACTGCTGTGTGCTTAACCAATTATATATGAGATGACCTAAGTGTCCCCGAAACTCCCCTTAACTGTGCTTAAAAGGAGCCTGTGCACTCCTCTCAGAATCCTCGCCATTTTCTACAGGTGTCCACCCCCTCATGCATGCTGGAATATTAATAAACGCTCTTTGATTTTACATGCTATTTGAGTCTTGGGTCTCCTTCAACATTTCCTTAGATTTGAAGCCCAGATGATTATGAGTGAATTTCAGGTGCCAGAGAAATCAGGAACAGGATTTTATTTACACTGCCAGGTGTTGGTTTTGTTTCTATTTAACTGTGCTATGCCCATGTTCTTCTCTCTTGGGTTAAGAAAGCATTTGTTTATTTATTTATTTTCTTATTTTACGGATACCCACAGTTAAGAAACAGCTACTTTTAAGATATATTGAATTTTTTATTATTACTGAAATTTATTCATTTACTTTACATTGAGACCAGTTTCCCCTCCATCCTATCCTCTCATTCCATCCCTCCCCCCCATCAACTCCTCCTCTCTTTTTGTTTAGAAAGGGACAACAAAGTATGGCATATCAAGTTGATGTAGGACTAAGCTCCTCCCTTGTATTAAGGCTGAGCAAGGCAACCCAGTATGAGAAATAGGTTCTTGGAAGCCAGCCAAAGCATTAGGGACAGGCCCTGCTTCCACCACTAGGATTCCCACAAGTAGATTAATGAACACAGCTGTCACATATACAGAGAGGGCCTGTATCAGTCCCATGCAGCCTCCCTAGCTGTTGGTCCAGTCCTACAAGCCAAGGTTAGTTGTTTCTATGAGTTCCCTGTGATGACCCCTTGACTCATACAGTCCTTCCTCTCTCTCCTCAGTCAACAGAATTCATTGAGTTTCTCCCAGGGCTTAGCTTGGATTTCTGCATCTGTTCCCATCAGTCACTAGATGAAGGCTTTCTGATGACAATTGGGGTAATTACCAATCTGATTACAGGAGATGGACAGTTCAGGCAGCCTCTCCACTATTGTTAGAAGTCTTAGCTGGGTCATTCTTGTAGATTTGTAGTAGTTTCCCTTGCACCAGGTTCTACCTGACCCCAAAATGCTCCCCCACATCAAGACATCTTTTCATTTCTCCCCCCCTCCATTCACTTCCCAACAAGCCAAGATACACTGAATTATTAAGAGGTGGAATTTTAAAACCTATGACTTTTAAAGTTATACTGTGTTTTATATTCTAATAGACTGTGATTTTATGGACCATGAAAGGTTATGGCTTAGCAGTGATGTGTATGCAGATCAAGTTGACATGGGGTAGATTAGTGATGGCTAATCTTGACTGTCAACTGGAAATACAGAGCAGAAGCAACCTCAGCATAAGAATTGACTCCATTCTTGGTTTGTGGTCTTGACAGTATGGTGATAATTTATTTGTACTGAAATGTGATTTGTATGTTAATAAATAAAGTTGCCTGGCGGTCAGAGCTATTAGCAAACCATAGCAAAAGCTGGGCGGTGGTGGTGCATGCCTTTAATCCCAGCACTTGGTAGGCAGAGCTAGGTAGATCTCTGTGTGTTCAAGGATACAGTCAGCATTGGAGACACATGCCTTTAATCTCAATACCAATCATAGAAGATCTGGAGGTCTAGTACAGACAGGCAGTGACTAGGAGGTCATGAGGTTGGGTTTATAACCAATGAGAAGGCAGAACAGAAACTCTATAAAAAAAAGACAGACACAGGAAGTAGGTCTCTTTCGGAGAGGTACAGCAACAGCGGCAGTGAAGGGTAAGGTTTTTAGCTCTCAGCTATTGCTCTGACCTCTTGGCTTTCACCTCTGTATTGTCTGTGTGTTTCTTATTTAATAAGATGGTTGGTTACATCTACATGATAGTGTGGCATTTTCTTGTCTTTTTTTTTTCTCTTGTTTTTCTTCTATTCTATTCACGGTGGTTTTCGTTATTTTGTTTTATTTTATTTTTCTAATGTTTTCTTTTAAAATATTTTTTGTTGAAAAAAGTATTTTGATACACTATATTCTGATCAAGATTTGCCCTACTCCAACTCTGCCCTCCTTTCCTCATACCACACCCAACTCTACACCTTCTCTCTCTTCCTTCTCTCCTCGCCTCTCTCTTTCTCTCTTGAAAACAAACATAAAAAGTTAAAACACACACATGAATATAAGCTATAAAAGCAGAAATCCAGAAACTATAATATATAAGGAAATCAGAGACCACAATATATAAGCAAAGGACAAGTAGACAAAAATTGTCAAAGAGATATTAATAAAAATTCTACAAAAACACCACCGAGTTTGATTTGTGTTGGTTTTCTATTGCTGGGCATGAAGTCTACTCTTAAGTGCAGTTTATATACCCTGTGAGCTTCTATTACAGAAAATAAAATATTTTGCAGACAGTTGTCTCTTGGTGCCAGCTTCTTAGTTAGGAACTGAACACATGTCTACTTACCTATCTCAGTTCTGGGACCCTGTCTGGCTTTGATTTATGCAGGCCATGTGCATGCTGCCAGTCTCTATGAGTTCATATGTGCATCAGTCCTGTTGTGTCTTGAAGACACTATTTCCTTGATATCATCCCATCTCTTCTGACTCTTATAATATTTCCACTTCCACTCCCACATAAATCCCAGAGCCTGGAGGGTAGGGGTTTGATGGAGACATCCTAATTAGGACTGAATATTCCAAAATCTTTTGCTATCTACATATTGTCCAGTTGCATGTTTCTGCATTAGTTCCCATATACTGCAACAAGAAGCTTCTCTGATAATGGCTGAGCAAGATAATGATCTCTGGGTATAGCAGCATGTCTTTAAGAGTCATTTTATTGCTATTTTCCTTTAGCAGAACAATAGCATTTGGTTTTTCTCTAGGTCTGTGGCCTATATAGTCTCAGGTTCTTAGCCATTGTGATGGCTATTCTTGATTGTCAACTTGACTAAATCTGGAATTAATTAAAAATCCAAGTTGCT